GGCGATCCCGCATTGCAGCGCAGACCCGGGGGGCCGTGCGAGCGCCTCCGAACACGGGGGCCCGCCCGTGTCCTGTCCACCCGCCACAGACATGGATAGCAAGAGACAAGCTGTATGGCTTCCGAACGTGGTCCAGCCACATCGCTGAAGTCCGTGGTGTATACATGACTCGTTGTTTCCCTTGGAAAACGGGCGAGAAGTATACACCACACCACCCCGACGTCGTCCCCGACCCTCACAGAAGTCCTGGGTTTGAAACAAAACCCGCCACTGGTAATGTATGGGTTCCTGTGTCCGACAACTGGGACGCACAATGGCATGCTAGCACGATACGTTCTCCTTGGAGGCGCGCGTCCGACCCAAGCGTATCGTAGACACATCCTGCAGTCGAGACCGCTTCCCGGGCGGTGTGGCCGGAAAGCGCCCGCCACGGCACATGTACCGCAAGAGTTCCAGGTGCGCGCATCGCTCCTGGGGGGTCGACGCACATATAGTAAAGGGGAGGAGGAGAAGGAGGAGGGGAGGAGAAGGAGAGGAGGAGGAGGAGGGAGGGGGGAGGAGGGGAGGCGGAGGAGGGGGAGAAGGAGGGGAGGAGGAGGGGAGGAGGAGGAGGAGGAGGGGAGGAGGTATAAGAATGTTGGGGCGACGCCGAGCGAGGGAGGCAGCGGCCAAGCGCCTCCGAGATGATCTCGTAATCCCCGTGCTCGCCGATGTTGCCTCGGAGCTTCCCGGGCCGCCCCGAGTCGAGCAGGCCCGAGTTGTCGATGGGTCCTGCCACGGCCCCCCCTCTCCCCAGAGGGAGGAAGACGGGCAGGGGGCGGGGGGGAGAGGGGGGAGGACGAGGAGGAGGAGGGGGAGGGCGAGGAGGAGGATAACGAGGCGGAGGAGGAGGAAGAGAAGGAGTGATGGAGACGAGAGGAGAGGGAGGAGGAGGAGGAGGAGGAGGAGGAGGATGAGGAGGAGGAGGAGGGGGATGAGAAGAAGAGGGACTCTCCCTCATCCCGTCCCCCATCCTCCTACGCAGCAGCAGCTCGGGCACGCTCCTGGACGCTCCTTCGTCCACGAGCGCTCCCGCTGGACGCGCTCCTGCGTGTCGAACGCGTCCTCGCTGGTGCGAGCGGCAGGGGGCGGCATGGGCAAACTGGGACGTCCTTCGTCCAGCTCCACCTCGTGTCTAATGTTCACCACATGTTCATCCTCCTTCACCTCCTCACCGTCCTCTACCTTCTCTTCTCCACCTTCTCATCCTCCTTCACCTCCTCACCGTCCTCCACCAGCACATACACACGCGCGCGCACACACGCACATACCTTGCTGGTTCTTGTCACCGTTCCACTCCTCATCCTCCTCAACATCAACATCTTACAGTGGAACATCGACGTTGCACAATCATCAGCAGCAGCATCGCCAATATCAGCAGCAGCCGGAGGGCTTTCCTCACTCTCAAAATCTTACATCACCTCCTCGTTCTCCCTCATCATCATTGGCATCATCCATGCCCCCTCTCCTTAGCCCTCGCCCTCCTCATCATCATCTCCCTCCTCATCCCTCACCATTATTGTCGTCATCTCCCTCCCCTCTCCTTCTGGTCGTCCTCCTCAACTTCCTACTCTTTCTACTTCCTGTCCCTCCTCACCGTCATCCTCATCAACCTCATAACCGATGCTTTCACCGACTTCCCTCGCCCACACGACCGCTCGAGTCCATCCATAGTTTCACGATATTGAATGCAAGATTGTGGGGCTCTCGACTTTGAGCCCCCTAGAAGAACTCTCCATGTAGAATGTGCAACTAGAGGTGCGACTTCGAGGTTGCTCCCGACTTCGGGCATACGTGTGCCGAGAAAAGTCTGCCCCGTGGCGGACCACACGCCACCAGTGAAGCAGATGCAAATGTGTTCGTCCTCTACTTCGTCCACCAACCGCCTCCCCCTCCGACCTCAGCCTGTTCCTCCTCCTCCTCCTCCTCCTCCTCCTCCCCCTCCTCGCAGACCTGCCATAGACCACCGAGGCGCCCGGTCATTCCATGAACAGCCGACGCCCCACAACAAAAGAGTGTCGCTGGGCTGGGACAACCCGAGGAAGGAGAGGGAGAGGCAGAGGCAGGCAGAGGAAGACAGGGGAAAGGCATGTGTCCCAGACAGGAAAGCTCCAAGCCGAGCAGAAGCCCACGGGGGAAGCTCTGACCTCCAGGGTGGGCGCCCGGGGGTCGCCCGCAGCTTCAGCAGCTTGTCGGCACTGCTCCTCCGTCCTGCCTGTCTGCCCCTCCGCCTACGGCCATGGATCCTCCTCCCCCTCCTCCTCCTCCTCCTCCTCCTCCTCCCTCCTCCTCCACCTCCTCCTCCTCCTCCTCCTCCTCCTCCTCCTCCTCCCCCTCCTCCTCCTCCTCCTCCTCCTCCTCCTCCTCCTCCTCCTCCTCCTCCTCCTCCTCCTCCTCCTCCTCCTCCTCCTCCTCCTCCTCCTCCTCCTCCTCCTCCTCCTCCTCCTCCTCCCCCCCTCCTCCGCAACTGTCTGCCCCTCCGCCCACGGCCCGTCGTGCTGCAGCGAAGAACGATGGGTAGCGAGCGAAGGGGGCAGGCCCGGCCACGGCCAGCCTTCTGCCGCGAGCAGGCTCCCCGACGCAGCTCGAAGGAGCGGCCCGGCGGCCAGAGCTTCTCCTTGGGCGAGCGTGGACCTGGCTTCATCTCGGCCCCCTAGATGGGGTCCGAGCAGATGGGGTCGGAGGATCCCGCCGCATCGCCGATACATCGGCGATGCATCGCTGATGCATCGGCGATGCATCGGCGATGCACTGGCGACGTCGGCGATGCACCGGCGACGTCGGCGTGGAATAAAGTGGGCCCCACATCGAACCGCATCGGCGATGCATCGCCGACGCATCACCGATGCGGCACGATCCTCCGACTCCATCTTCTCCGACCCCATCTAGGGGGCCTAGCCTTCAGCGTCTTGACTGCACCCCCTCGTGCGAGAAGGGTTTTTTTGACAGTTTTTTTTGAATACAACAAACTCTCTTTATTTCCCCCCCCCCCCAAAAAAAGAGAGGAAAAAACATGAAGCCAAGAAACCGATTTTACATTCGAGGAACCAAGTCCTGGCTTCAGCGTCTTGACTGCACCCCCTCCTGCGAGAACGGATTGTTGACTGGCTTCTGGAAAAAAATCTTTACGCTTCGCGTATCCCCACCAGCCCATCTCACAACAGCAACTCTTGCGAAGCATGCCGACAGTCGTGTTTTGCAGGCGTGTGTCCGCTTGGCCCCGCATATCTCCCCTGTTACTCCTTCCTCCCGCCTCCTTGTACATCCTCCTTGTGGGGGGAGCGGGAGAAGGACGAGGCGGAGGAGGAGGGAGAGAAAGCGCTCCTCGTGGTTTGAGTCGTTTGGGGTTTCTCGTCCTGGTGTGAGTCGTTCGGGCCCTTCTTCCTGGTGTGAGTCGTTCGGGCTCTTCGTGGTGTGAGTCGTTCGGGCTCTTCGTCCTGGTGTGAGTCGTTCGGGCTTCTCGTGGTGTGAGTTGTTCGGGCCCCTCATCCTGGTGTGAGTCGTTCGGGCCCCTCCTCCTGGTGTGACTCGTTCGGGCTCCTCGTGGTGTGAGTCGTTCGGGGCCCGCGTCGTGGTGTGAGTCGTTCGGGCTCCTCGTGGTGTGAGTCGTTCGGGCGCCTCGTCCTGGTGTGAGTCGTTCGGGCCCCTCCTGGTGGTGTGAGTCGTTCGGGCTCTTCGTGGTGTGAGTCGTTCGGGCCCCTCGTCCTGGTGTGAGTCGTTCGGGCTCCTCGTGGGGCCTCTGGGGCCTCTTGGAGCCTCTTGGGGCCTCTTGGGGCCTCTTGGGGGCTCTTTGGGGGCCTCTTGGGGCCTCTTGGGGGCCTCTTGGGGCCTCTTGGGGGCCTCTTGGGGGCCTCTTGGGGGCCTCTTGGGGCCTCTTGGGGGCCTCTTGGGGCCTCTTGGAGGCCTCTGGGGAGCCTCCTGGGGGCCTCTTGGGGCCATCTTGGGGCCTCTTGCGACCTCCTCAGAAGCGCAAATGAGCGCTGCCCCCTGAGAAGGACAAAATGAGCCCAAAACCGTTGTAAAAACAATGATTTTGCTATGAAGGAAGATGAGCGCGGCCCTCTCAGGAGGCCAAAATGGGGCCAAAACCATAGTAAAATCAATGATTTTGGCTTCACGGAAAAGGAGAGGGTTTTTTCTCCGCCCCCCCGTCGGGGCCAGAATCCTCGTGAGGGGTGTCGTTGTTTACCCCTCCCAGGAGTCGAAATTGACCCCCCTGACGACCCGCGGCCCCCCCTCTCCAGGCCCAGGGGGAGGGGGTAGGGGGAGGGGTAAACCCCTCCCCGAAGGGGAAGAAGGGGGGTTGAGGACAGGGCGGGCTCTCTAAACCACTCACGCCCAAAGGGCTGGTGGTTTCCGCACCATTTTGGCCTCCTGAGGGGGCCGCGCTCATCTTCCTTCATAGCAAAATCATTGATGTTACGAAGGTTTTGGGCTCATTTTGTCCTTCTCAGGGGGCAGCGCTCATTTGCGCTTCTGAGGAGGTCGCAAGAGGCCCCAAGATGGCCCCAAGAGGCCCCCAGGAGGCTCCCAAGAGGCCTCCAAGAGGCCCCCAAGAGGCCCCCAAGAGGCCCCAAGAGGCCCCCAAGAGGCCCCCAAGAGGCCCCCAAGAGGCCCCCAGAGGCCCCAAGAGGCCCCCAAGAGGCCCCCAAGAGGCCCCCAAGAGGCCCCCAAGAGGCCCCCAAGAGGCCCCCAAGAGGCCCCACGAGGCTCCAAGAGGCCCCCAAGAGGCCCCACGAGGAGCCCGAACGACTCACACCAGGACGAGGGGCCCGAACGACTCACGCCACGAAGAGCCCGAACGACTCACACCAGAAGGAGGGGCCCGAACGACTCACACAAGGACGAGGCGCCCGAACGACTCACACCACGAGGAGCCCGAACGACTCACACCACGACGAGGGCCCCGAACGACTCACACCACGAGGAGTCCGAACGAGTCACACCAGGAGGAGGGGCCCGAACGACTCACACCAGGACGAGGGGCCCGAAC